TGTGTGTGTGTGTGTGTGTGTGTGTGTGTGTGTGTGTGTGTGTGTGTGTTCATTCGGATTAAAACCTTTTTTTTTTTATTCAGTCAAGATGATATATACCTATTAATCAGTAAACATTGTATGATATAGTACGCATACAATTCTGTAAAAGTTAACCTAGGATCTAAATATTTACGAGTGTGTATATATATATATGTGTGTGTAAATATAAATAATTTAATATTAATAATTATATTACTTAAATATTTTTTTTTAGTGTTTCTTCCTGATGTAACTATTGTATAATCAAAATAATTCTTTAATTTATGTAGTAAGCATTTTTTTCAATTGTATACATTACTGTCAAATTAAAAATTAGTTACTTCATTAATAATTATCTATTGCGATATGTATTAACTTAGATTGTGTATAGAACATATCGTAGATAGTCCTTCAAATTTATTTATATTTAATTATTATAGACAAAAATATTTTCATATTTCTTTAATGTTATTTTGTTTTCTATTTCAACCAAAAAAAATGTTGTGTTTAAACATTCGTTTAAACTTTTGGAATCTTGCAATGGCGGACTGTTTAATTATTAATAATGATCGATTGCATAATTTTTACACACAAACAATTAATTTTAGCTTATAAAATTAACGTTAAAATATTATTTTTTAAAACTGTTCTTAAAAAAACATATTTAAAATGTAAATTAATTTAATGAGACAAACTCGCTGACCTATTTATAATAAACAAGGGTCTCATTGTCCACACACTATTTTATAATTAATTGTTTACAATTTATATGACGACTAATGGAAAACTATATAAGTTTTATGACATACGTTTAACATTTTAAAAATGAAATATAATTTTATTAACTAGTTGTTTAATTATATAGGTAAATACTCTCCGTTTTAACTGTATCTAGTAATATTTAACTGTAATTAATTTAATTATAATTATACACTTATTTTATATGTAAAAAAAATTAATATTTGAAAACATTTGTTTTTATATTCTTAAATTGAGCATAAACCGAATGTTTTAGATTCAATTCAACCATATATACGTAGAAGGCAGTATACTACTTGTATTACTATGGATATTATTAAGAAAAGCAGCAACTACTGCAAATCCAGAAAAACCGGTGAGATACTATTTATTTGAGTTGAGTTGAGTTATAGTATCTATTACCAATATAATTTAAAAGTAATAATAAATCGATTAATTCAAAAAATGTTTCTTGGTGAAGATTGGTGTAGAATATACATTGAAATATCTAAATTAAAATTAGAACAGATTCATTACTCTCTAACACTTTAATAAACATTTTTATGTAACATACATGTTACACGTGCTATAATCATAATTTATAGGGAAATATTAATTTTGCCATATTTTAAATTTTAAATTCACGTTAAAAATATTTACTAACCAGTCTTTAAATTGTCAGTCTTAAAATAAGTTTTATATATAAAATTGCATACTTGATTATGGTATGATATTTAAAAATATTCGTATATTGATGTACTTTAAGTACCAACTAGGTTTTGAAATAATTATTTTTTTATTTTTGTTCAACTTTCTCAATTATTATTTTTGTCTAATAAACCTTTAACTATAATTTTAATTAAAACTAAATTTATCACATTTCCGCCAGTAATTTAATTATATTGCATACTAATTTTCTATTGTAATGAAAATATATTGAACTCGTTAATTTTAATTTACCTCTGCTGATTTTAAAAATAATAATAATAATAATAAAATAAAAATACATTAAATAGCTTTAATAAATAATTTCTGTAATACGTAACTGTATAATATTATTATGTTTTTTGTGTTAGTTTACGATATTCCACTAAAGCAATTTGTGATTCATTTTTTAAGCTGGATATCGAGAAGAAGATTCAATCATGGACCCCGAAACCTTTAGTCGATACAAGTAGCCCAATAAGGTTACCAATGGAAAACTACTTTATCGAGAGTAAGGTAAAGTATCAATAAGACTATCCACAATTGATTTTGCTGCTATGATGTTTACTAATACTATTATTTGTTTTTACCAGGCTAGTGATCGTGTCGTAATAAACGGTCAGACATGTATAAATTTTGCCACCCATAACTATTATAATTTCTTTGATAATAAAAGTATTGAAAATAGGGTAATAGAGGCTGTGAATAAATACGGCGTGGGCTCTTGTGGCCCTAGAGGTTTCTATGGCACATTTGGCAAGTATTTTATCATTTATATATATTATATCTATATAAAATAAAACGATACACAGTTTTAATTAAATTTGATATTTTTAATTTTTTATTACTATTGCTTTTATCTTACAAAATTACAGATTAACATGATATTAACTTTATTATAATTTGTTTTTTAATTATTTCATAAAATAAGGAATCCGTCATTAAGTTCTTAGTTGGAGAATTGAAATTTAAAAGTAGAATTGTATCGGGAGATAAACTATAGGAAAAAAGTTTGGAAAGGGAGATTATATTTATATTTATACTCATATCAATTTATTTTAATTTATTTATATTAATATTTTTATATTGAAAAGTTACCTTCAATATTGTCGCAAATAAAATCATAGAAAACTTTATTATACAATTTATTTTGTTTTAAAATAAAAAATAATAATTTCATTTAACAACAAAATAAGAAACACACATTTTAAAAATTAATATTAAATGTTATGAATAAATATTATTAATAATCAAAAAACTACAAAAAATCAATTTTTTTATTTATTTAAAATCTCATATAGTGGTATTTTTAATTTAAAACAATAATAAATGTATTTATAATATTCTAATTGATATATCAAAATCATAACTTTTGTATATCTTTTGGATTATATATTCCTTTGATAATAAGATGATATTCAATAATTTAACAAAATAATCTGAAATTTTAGCTGGTTTTTATGAAGATATACGATTTAAAATTACATTTACTGACTAAAAATTAGATATTTTGTACTTCAAACTATATTAAACATATAACGATCTACGATCTAAAATATCCCCACTATAATTTTTTCAATACAAGTGATTTAACATTGATGACCTATATTTTTTTAAGACGAAATTAATTTTTTTATGAACGTGGTTTGTAATTTAGTGGTTTGAATGGACTATTGTCTTTTACTCATTTAATCATTTATTAATCAATTCCGAGTCACCCTACTCGTCATTAAAAATTTATTGGGGTGTTTTTTGTATATATCCAGTGGTTAAAATAGATTTACTTGTAAATAATACTTATAAAATGATGTTGATAACTTAGTGAAATATTGTATTTATTTAATATAGATATACATATTGAGTTAGAAGAAAAAATCGCCAATTTCATGGGAATGGAAGAAGCCGTTATATACTCGTATGGGTTTTCTACAGTTACTAGTGCCATTCAAGCTTACGTAAAACCGAAGGATATTGTTTTTGTGTAAGTATTAAATAGGTACAGTATAAGCATTATAAATATTATTTCTAACACGAACATAACATTTTTAGAGATGAGGAGGCAAATTTCGCTATACAAAAAGGTTTGCAATCTTCGAAAGCGGACGTTATATATTTCAAACACAACTGTCCTGAAGACTTAGAACAATTGATTTTGGAAATCGATAAGAAATCTCCTGTATGTAAATTACGATCAATTTTGTATCTCTAAATGTTATTAATTACAACATACCATATTTTTATTTTCTATAAGGATAAAAGAAATTATTAATTTTGAACAGTACTTCCTACAAAGTGTTCGTGGTTTATAATTGCTTTACAAAATATGATGTTAATAAGTTTTTAAATAATCATTTTTCTACATCAAAATCGTAGTATTTTTAAGACCTAACCTAATTCATTCTAATTTTCAGATGAAAAGAAAGAAAAGAAGATCGTTTCTCATCGTCGAAGGAATTTATATGAACACTGGAAATATTTGCAACTTGCCAAAATTCATTGACATTCGAATAAGACATAAAATTCGAATATTTATTGACGAAAGTATATCGTTCGGTATTCTTGGAAAAAAAGGTCGTGGTATTACAGAACACTTCAATATACCGGTAAAGATTAGTACCTATAGTATGTTGTATTAAGCAATATCAATAATACTTAATCCAAGCCACAGGAAACGTAAGCTATGTTAAAAATGACTGTATATTCATGTCACAATAAGAAATAGATCAATACAACATCTTAGAATATAAAAAAACAATCGAACAATAATCATATTACTAATACTGTTAATTAGCATGTAAGCAATAAATATGTTTAATTAGGTGAAGTAAATATATAAAATACTGAAGACGCGTGAATAAATTAAAGAGTTTTCTGTGGTGGTCGATTCGACCACTATGGAAAATATATGCGTTATTTCAAGTGTTATTTTAATTCAAGTTGTGTTTATGTGTAAACGTAAACAATTCGATCGGCGTATACGACAAGTAGTACTCATTATCAAATTTGTTCTAATAATAAAAAATTCGATATTTTAACAACTCGCAACATATTTCTTAATATTATAATTGAAAGAAAAATATAAGTTAATAATATATTAATCTGTGAGTTTCTATTGTCCCAGAAGTACTATTATAAGGGAAATAATTTTACTAACATTAATGTCATGTATTTTCTAGACGTATGAAGTTGATTTAATCATCGGAAGTTTAGAAACGGCTTTATCATCAGTTGGTGGTTTTTGCGTTGGCTCAACATTTGTGGTTGAACATCAGAGACTGTCTGGTCTTGGTAATACAGCATTTAAATTTATGTTTATTCCTATAAATTTGCAACAATTTGCAATTTTATTTATACAAACAAAGTTATGATAATATTTTGATGATTTCTCCAGCAACAAGTCTTACACTTAATTGATTGTAATTTTCATGATATTGAACGTTTACATTGATGCGGTATTTATTTTTCTTTCGGATTTCAATTTTTTTGTTACAATTATATTTTATTGTTTTTATTACTATTATTAATATAACTATTATTGTTATTATTATACTTTAATTGTTATAAATATGACATTTAGAATTATCATGCTAAAAAAAAAACATTGAGTTAGAGAAATTGGCCGTAAATAACAACGACCATATAAAATCTATGATTCTACGTATTTCTGTGCGGTTGAGAAAATTCTAATCTTTAAAAATAAAAGCATTTTTGTATAAAATAAAACAATGTAATTCTACATTCTGCTTAAATTGTTAACTATAAGTTTTTATTTTACAGGTTATTGTTTTTCTGCATCTCTTCCGCCATTACTATCAGCGGCTGCTATCAAAGCTTTAGAACACATTGACAAATATCCAGAAATGTTGGCAACTTTGAGAGAACGGAGCATAAGTTTACATCGAAGAATTTGCCTTAGCAAACTGATAGAGCACTTCACTCTTGGATCAGACGAAACGAGTCCATTGAAACACTTGTACCTATCAGATGAATCCTTATCTCATTCCGAGCAACAAAGCATATTAAAACATATTGTTGACTACGTGAGTAACAGGTCTAAATATACAACTAAATGGCATATAAATTCTAACGAAAAATAAAAAATAGGAATAATTAAAAAAAAATAGAAGGTGTATGAAATATTTCATTAATTTATTCGATAGTTCATACAAACAACGTTATGATAGATTTGATATTATTTGTAATCCCAGAAAAATAAAATCGAGAAATTAATCTTAATTTAACATTATTCGTTGAGATATAAATAACGAAAATGTTTAAAAATGAATAAAAATAACTCTCGTTACAAATTTAAGTGTAAAAGGTTTTTAATTATTTTACATTTTTTATACATCATCATACACACAATTTTTGTTTCTGTATAAGAAATATCATTTTTGACTATGAAAAAATTATACTAAAAGTATTATGTATCATTCTTTTTAACTTCTTGATCACCACTAATTTATGAAATTAGTACATTTTCTTTTATATGAATTAGTCAAAAGTTTCAAGTGTCTAAATTAGTAGGTATAAAGAAAGTCATAAATTTTATGTGAAAATTACATCAAGTTGACTTAAATAATATAAATTTCTATTTATTAAAGGTAAATATTCATAATTTAATATTTTTCTATACTTTGAAAGGTTTGATTATTTGTTATAATTTTAGATATAAAATTATAATATTAAACTAATTGCAAAATTTTAAAATAATCAATAGAAATATTCCTTGTCTCAAATAAATATAATTTCAAATATATTATTATATAGCTGTCCTAGACACGGCGTTGTCCGCGTATTAGTTGGTTTTTTAGCATTTTCGTAGGCCATGTATTAGTGTTATTATGTATGAGAAAATTTAAAAGTAATAGGTAAAGTATCTAAAAGTTGAAATTAAGTACAAACCAAAATATATATTTTCTGAATTTAAATTTTATTCATCTTATATTAAATTATTGTTTGTAATCAGTGACCTACTTACAAAAAATACTATATACATTAAAAACATACAAAAATAAATTAAATTATTAAAACTAAAAATTATCTAAGTACTACTCATTGTACTGTTTTTCTCGTTGCAAATCAGTGTTAACTAAGTCGGCAGCCGGGCGATCAGGTGATGACATTCCATAATGACTAAGTGGCAAATTTGAAATTAAAATACATAAATCTTCGATCAACACTAATGCTTCATTATACATCTCTGGTGTGAAATCTAAATTTGGACATTGATTTGTTCGTCTAATTCGATGCAGTATATCTTCAGTCATATAATTTTTATATTTTTCCCACAGAGTCGATGATTGTGTTGGAAAACATGTTGTCAAAATTATTGCGAATAGTTGACGAATATTATTCGGTGTAGATGTCAATGCTGCATCACCAAGTGTCAAGTCCCAATGATTATCTGCTTCCAGTAGTTGCAACTCGCAACATGCATCTTGATATGTATTGAACACTTGATCGTTCACTGTTCGCAAATATTCGAAAGATGTTGGTCCGGCAATAAACGCAAAAAGAAGCATTCATGTTGTTTAGGATGTACAGTGTAAAGTCGTCCCAATGTCTTAGCTTTAAATATGCCTGGGATCGATGGATGTGGTTTTCCTTGCTTACGGGGCTCCCACTTTTTCCCTATTTTATTCCATGTAAAATAGCGTGGAACATCGGTATATAATAATGTTTTTGCAAATTGGCCGAATACATCAGATTTTTGACATAATGTAAAGAATTCAGTTAGTGTCGTTTTCGGTGTCTCAAATGCTCTTTGGAGAATATTTTCTTCGGTAAAATATACTCGTTGACCGTTTTCAAGATGTACTTCAAGATGCTGGACAGAAGGTTCTCTTTCGTGTATTGGAAAACTGAAAATACGCCAGATAGGATCATGTGACTGGTAACAATATCGAACAATTCTGAGTCAGTTAGTGGATCCGGAATTTCGGCAGAAATTATTTGGTCAATTTCTTCTGGACGGATTTTATCTTCAAGCCAAACCAAAATATGAGAATGAGGCAAACCTCGCTTTTGCCACTCAATAGAATACAGCCAGCAACGTGTGTTACCAAAAACTGAATATTTTACGATTAAATTAATTAAAGATTTTAACTTTTGTTTAAACACACGTGTAACGATATCGTGACGATGTATTGATTGTTGGCCTGGTAATAACAAACTTTTTATTTCTTCCCAATTTGGATTACACGTAAATGTAACAAACAAATCAGGTCGACCGTAATGACGTACATAAGTCATCGCATCTTGTATGTATTCCTGCATGCTCCGTGGACTGCCGATGTAGCTTGAAGGTAAAATACATACAGTTCCGATGTCATTGGCGTTTAAATTTTCATCGATGTTTCCGGTGATAGAAATACACCGAAATACACCATGCAATTAAACACATTTATTAAAAAGTTAATTAAAATATTTAAAATATTAAAAAAATTTGAAAAAAAACTATCCTATATTTTAAGTTGGACCAAATTACACACGATGTAAAAAATTTCATCAAAATCGGTCCAGTAGTTTCGGAGATTATCGCGAACATACATCGTGACACGAAATTTTTATATATATAGATATATATATATAAAATATATAATCTTAAAAAAAATATTAATTTTTATTGAATAATAATTAAATCTCTTACATGTCTAGATATTCTAATAAGTTTGGCTCATTAGATAAACACATTATTAGAAAACAATACTAATAAATAATTTTTTTTAACTTGTCTTTAATTTAAATCGAAATAATTCACATTTTTGTTTTTTTAGTGTATTCCTAAAGGATTTGCGATTACGACGGCTGCATATTTATACAAAAATGAATACAAACTGCCCAAACCGAGTATCAGACTACTTGCAAGCATCAACATAACTGATGAGAACATAGACTCCCTAATACATGTATTATTGCAAGCAGTCGATGTTATACCAACTAAAGCTGTACAATGATATGCTACGGTTTTCTTTATTTAAAACCCACCGTTTGAAATTTGTATAAAATGAGCCAAAAAATAAAGTTACTGTATGCATGAAAATATTTAAAATGTAAAATGTTTTTTCTTTTTTTTATGTTATTGCAATTTTATTTTTCACACGAAATCTTCACTCGTTTAACATTTGAATTATATATAACCACTTTACATTTTGATACGATTATAGATAGTCGAATCAGATTTATTATTATATTAAGTGTATTATGATTAATTATTAATCGTAATACGAAAAATAATACAGAACGAAGAAATTTGTACAGTAAGCATAGTAAATAGTTTCAAAGTGTTCAAAACAATAAAGTTAATGATAAAATTCATCAGGTTTTATTCGGCTTATTCTAAAGCGCAGTTAGGCTTAGGATTATTTTTCGTAGTTAGATCTATCAGGTACACGGTTGATAATCAAACTTTGGCGTGGTTGACACTTAAATTCAGTGATTGTTCGGTAGAAATTAAAGCTTATAAAACAGGATCGTAATATAAATTAGTACTCACCTTCTTCAAAATAAAGTTTAAACTCAGTTTAAAGTACAGTTTTCTTACTTTTATTATAGATATTCCGTAATCGTATCAATTACATTAACATCAAAATTTAAACCACAAATCGACGGATATAACTACAAAAAAAAAATATCGGTCGATTTCTAATGTGCGGTGCAGAAATAATAATATTGGAGTTGTTTAATCATTTAATTTAAAAATTTCGATCATAAAAGGTCTATTTTTTGTATTTTATCTGCGATCGAAATTAGCAACCAAAGAGTTCTAATAATGTAGGTTGTAGTTAGGTTGTTAATTTATTTCTAAACACGTGCAACATTGGACGTGTTTGTTGACATTTTATCATTATTCGTTATTGTGGCTTGAACACAAGTATAAAAATATTTATTCGTCGAACTCAGAAAAAAAAAATTGTTAAAAAGAAAGATTTAAACAATTTGACTACTAACCTTTGGTATATCTAAGTGCACCCCCCCTCCCCCCGGGTAGAAATTTCTGACCCAGTCCGGCCCTGTTTATTACTTTCTTAAACTGTTAATAACTACAATCTTATGAAGTAATCATATACTATTGATAAACGTATATTGTGATCGGACAGCCATCTGTTTGAATAAATAAATATGAGTTGTCGAATAGGAGGCTAATATATTTTCATGATCTATATTGGCCATTCTCAACCAGACGAAACTCACGTGCTGATGATGGAATGTATCCATGAGCGCTGGTCGTAACAAATACAATTCGTCCTTCGGACTTGCGATTTGTAATAATTATAAAAATACTGACCGTAGGCCGGACAAGGTGAGTCCCACCTGGTAGTTTGGCAGGATACGTATTATTGGCTATTGTGTTAGCCAAAAACCATGCGTGACAATGAGCTAACGGTATTTTCGAAAAATGTTTACTGTACTTGGCCAATTATCATGAGATATCAATAATTTGTTCGTTTAAATCTCTTACGTAGTGCATACGGAGCAAGACAAACTTCAGCAGCACAAGATATGCTTTTACTGTTCGTTGAGCAACTGAGATTGAGTAGTGATTGCGCCATTATGGTACACTTGGCGAATTTTGTTTTCATATTGAGCCGGGTACACACCGGAGCATTTAGGTGTAGTGTAGCGCCCCGTAATGTAACAGAGTTGAATTTTACATGTTACGAGTTACAAACATAGTGTGTACGCTTAGGATCGAGCACTATTTTGTATCGGTTGTTCACCGGACTATCCATTAGTTGTTCACAGTTTGTTCTCGTGTAACATTGTAAACAATGTCTTCTGTCAATTCACAAGTCCCTAGCGTATCGTTTATCTTCATTCATTCTATTTAAAAAAAAAAAAAACAACAAAAATAAAAAAAAAAAAACGGAAAAGGAAATGGTGGTAAACGAATTTAACGAAGTCTTGAGATACGATTATATTTAGTGGATCATATTTATTAAATAATATTCAACAACAGGAAATAAGTAGACGGCACAGAAAATTTATTGGAATATCGTCTATTTGAATTTTTAACCAATTTGATTGGTCCAAAAATAGAAGTCATAGACACTCTTGTTAATGTTATTTTATCTATTATCTATTTGTATTTAAAACTAAACATAAATTACACTAAACACATATAAACATCATAAATAATTTAATTTTTCTATACATACAAGTGTTGTGGTTTTAAATTTTAAACTCAATCATTATTTTAATTAATATTAATACATTTGTTTAGAAGGCGAATTGCTACATAACAAATCATTAACACAATGCATTCAAAATTAATTGTGTTAATTAAAGTTAAGATTTAAGAAAATTAGTATTAAGTAATGATTCCTAAGTTATCTTATAAAATAATTCTTAATGACGGAACCACTCATCTATTTTATATAATGTTTTATTCTGCCAGTCGCGAAAATCAAACAATTATAAATGGTTTCCAAATGGCATAATATTTATAAGTGCAAACATGGTCTGGTATGTCACATAATACGCAAATAAATAGTTCATTTTCAAATCTATGCCACAGTCAATAAATTAAAACAATATTTTAGAAAAATAAAATAAAGATCAATCATTAGTACTATTATTATGTAAAAAATTGGAAATATGATTATTATTATTTATTTTTATATTTGATGAATTTATTACAACAAAAATGTAACAAATTTTTGTATTTTTTTGCTAAGTTTTGAAAACATTTAATGCTCAAACGCAGATGAAAAAAAAGTTGTGCCTGTGTATTTTCAATATCTATCATTGAAGTAACATTCTTGTTAAAGCAACAAGTTCATTGAGGTAAAATAAAACCAACTATCAGAAATGTGATCCAAGCCATAACCAATTCATTTTTAAAAATTGTTTGAAAACTTCAAAATTCTATATTCCGTATCCATAAAAATATTAAAATATTACAACTGAGTTGGTGTTTCAAAACAAGGTAATATCGCAGTGTTCTGCAATATTTTATTGTTCATAATTTGTTTTTAGGAACTAAGTAAAAATGATTTTTCAAAGGTTATAAATATGTTTATAGCTAAAAAAAATATGATTTTTGAAAATAAACATAATTTATATAAACACAATTTTAAAAATTACTTTATCGAAAATAAATAAAATTTGTTTAAATTCCTTTTATTAATTAATCTTGAATAAATAATTAAAATGTTAGGTCACACTTCTCTTTTGATTAATGTTTAAAATCAATCACATAAAAATACTATTGCTCTGAATTATATGCAAGAATAAAAATAACTCTAATCTTGGTAAAAATACAGATAATTATCTAGATAAGTAAAAATGTTATCTTAGATAAGTAATTAGATAACTTAGCGTTATTTACCAAGATAAGATAAAATATGACAAAAATCTATCTAGATAAGTCCCAACACTTTCTAGTAACCATTGGTAGGCCGTATAACAGCCTTTACATTATCGTTATCGTTTCAAGCGCTTTCCAATTTATTTGTTACATTTTTGTTTTTAATGTATTTACTCTCAGGGCCGTGCCTAGGGGGGTGCGTATGCACCGGGCGCCAAAAGTTTTTTCATAATCTAAGTAAAATTACTGAAAGTTAACCATATTATTTAATTCAAAATATTTAACACGTTTAACGCCATGATATCGCGCATAGTGGACATCATTAACATTGTCTTGATCGGCGGTGTTGCTAATTTATTTTTAGTATTGGTATTTATTTTTGCCCCGAAATCGAAGAGATGACAAATTAACAATAATATATCATTTATAAAATTATTAAAATAATAAAAGATTGTATACAGATATCAGCCTAATGAATGAAGAAAATAATTAGAATCGGAGCATATTTTGAAATTTAGAATACTGTAAGTATTGAATGGGTTATTGAGAGACTAATTAGGATATTGTATTTGGTAGGAAAGGAAGAGCAGTCAAGGAGAATATAAGATAGAATATAGATTTTTTTTCTGAATGGAGTGTGCAGAGAAGGGAACAGTGGCGGAACTTGAAGATAGGGGGCCCATGTGAAAATGTCCAGACATATTATTATTTATTGTTATTGTATTAAAATAGACAACATAATATGTGTATATTACAGAATATAGTAGAAATATTGTAAGGGACAAAGGTAAATCAGAAAAGATCATGAGGCTCCCTAAAACCGGGAGTCTCTGTGAATTGTACACCCAATACTCCCGATAAATGCATTACTGGAAGGAAATCCTTAAGATTTAATTTGTAAGCAACATGGTAAGAGATGATGTGCGTAATCGGTTAAATTTGATTACGAGGGATCTGGAAAGAGTGAGATCGTTGAACCATACTTTGTCTGGTATAACGGGAACTATAGATTTAAATCTAAAAACGAAATTCGGGAGTAACTTGTCCAAGTAGGTAGACCAGAGTGAGAAAACATAGCGTCGAAGAATCAGTTTGAGTTCTATTATTTATATTGTTCTTTAGTCGTTGATTATTTCTTTTATTAATTTAATAAATACCAAATAAGTAGTTACATAAAACCCCATATTCTTAAGTAGTCTCCTTATAGTTTAAGTTAAGCTATAATTATAGGTTCAAAAATATTTTGTAGGGGGATGAGGGTGCTAAAAATGATTTTTAGCAGCGGGTGCTAATTATACTAGGCACGGTACTGTTCACTTAATGTATTTTCTGATGGAACCAGTTCCCATTGACTATTTAATCAAAAATTTCCATTAAACAATTTTTAGTTATTAGAAAAAGAAAACACAGTTTAAACTTTAAACAATATGTTATCTTTATAAATTAGTCACAAATATAAAATAGGTTTATTTATTATTATTATATTTTAATTTATTATATTATGTTATTATATATCTCTATTATATACAAATTATAAATTTTTTATTTGGATTACGTATTACGTATTGTACCACAAATTATACCTAAGACTTTTTTTTTTGCTTATTTACGTTTTGAAGGAGAGGTTTTTTGTCCCTCCCCCTCCTCCTATGAATAATTTCAATCTTAGAATATTATTTTAGATAAAAAAAAAAAAAATTAACTTATTTATATTATTGTTCATCAACATAAAATGGACTATGTAAAAATCTTATGTCACCCAGGGCCATCGCCCCCTCTAGCCCCCCCCCTAAATTCGTCACTGAAATAATAATAATAACTACTAATTAGATGGACGATTTAATTGAAATTAATTACCATTAAAATAAATAAATATGCCGCTAGATGATTTTTTTGAAATAAGTAATATAAAATAATATGCAATATAAATGTAATAACTCACTCAGCAAAGTAAAAAAAAACATAATAGGTACATGTTTAATATGTACAATATGTAAAAGAATTTTTTGTAAAAAATATGTAAAAAAAATTTATGTTTCCGCGTAATACGATTTCCTGCTTAAGACGCTATTTTTAACTGGTCCCTTGGAGAGCGTCTTAAACGGGTTCTACTGTATAATGAGAACTGAAAAAATATTTTCTAAGTGAAGGACACATACAGAAGAATTTTTATAGTGCAAATTAAATCTATAAATCCATTTTTTATCTTCAAAACTACACACAGTTTAACAATACCACAGAGCAAATATTAAATAGGTAATTAACTTATTTTAAGAAATTTTATTTCTTGTTTTGCTAGAAACCTAATAACAATTTTCAGATTTTTCCGAATCGTATTATACATATTAAAAGCTGCGAGTGTGACAACCCTAAAACCTAAGGGGCGCAGTGCTTCAGGATGAAAAAGCCTCGGTACGACTCTCCGGAATGGCGAGGACAATGCGTATAATAGTAAGAAGGGGAACGAGTTGTAAGCATTTACGTTTCTCACGTATAACGCAATAATGTTAAAATAGTAGACACCTCGCCGAGTTTCACTTGCGAGAATGGCGTATCCGGCGTTTCGTAGAAACGGGCAGGATTGTAGGGCCCGTGCACTTTAGGATTGTATTCAGCGGGATAATCTCCGATGGCCATCTCGAAAAGCGTTCAGTCGTGCGGTTGAATGATGGATTGAAAACCAAGAAAGTGAACCAGCGATGAAGTGTATTCAACGAATCAGCCTGTCTGACCAGTGTGTCCAACGCGAACACGTCGAATAAACAGTATTCCTGGCACGTTTTACGGTTCAAACACGGCTGCCGCAGCACAATCAAATTATTGAAACTTGATAAATACTAAAACAAAACTGTTGAATATCCTTGATTATCATTTATCTGTTTATCCATACAACCTTACTTAACAATACAATATGATGCTTATGTTTGTCAAATAATTAAACGTAAACAAAATACTATAATATTTAAAGCACGTAATAAAACACCGAATGTTATTGTTTTATGGAATACGAAATATAAGTATCTATAGAAATATATACCTATACTATACATAGTTGCCATGATGAGAATTGATTTTATACCATCCATCTTAATTACTTAATAATGGATTAATGTTAATATTCACTTAAAATAAATTTAAATTATTCAATTTTTATTTAAATTCTTTATAAAACTGAACATATCTCATTTTATTATCTCGTTAATTTTCGTTATCATTTTAATTTTCTCATTTTATATCCACGTTCTGATAACTCTCCTTCGAACGTACCCACGGAGACATCGAGACTGTACAATATACTATTTAAGAAAAAGTATGTTAAACTTTATTAATTATTATGTTTGTATTATGTATAGCTTCTGTGTACCTCGCTCCGGGTGAAATTTGCTTAATATAAGTAATTATTAATTAATAATATAAATTATTAATATTTATAATATAAATTAATAATTAATAATATCAATTAATAATATTCAAAACACTTTTATGTAGGTACGACTTATCATGCAATACTACTTGTGATAATTATTAACTATTGATAATATACGAGTGGAAAATTGATACGCCTTCGGCGTCAAAGGCGTTCGCTATCTAGAAGACCCCCACCTAATTGTTTTCTTAAAAATACTACGGCACCATACTTACGGTACTATACTAACAATCGATGCATGGTGTCAAACGTATAAAACCAATATAATAAATATATAAAACATTTATATGTACATAAAAAAATTGAAATAGCAGAGGGCAAACCGCAGTGTAATTGAAAATAATCAAACATAATAATAGTACTCTTACAAAGTTAAGTGTCTTCTCAACAATAGTTAAAGGTTACATAAGTGTATAATCTATTATATTTAATAGACTGGCATAGAATTTAAAAAAAAAGGTATGAATATGCATATAGATCTTGATATTTCAGTTACCGAATAAAATATATATTTATGATAACAAAAACATTATCTTCTCCAGTAACCTAACCTATAGCAAAACGAAGGGACACATTTATTAAAATAAATTAGATACAATAATTTATAAGTCTTATAAACGCTAGATAACTTGACATTTTTTTAGATATGAAATTATCAAAGTAAAAAAACTTTCAAATACAGTACAGTTGGTTCTAAGTAAGAAGACTTAATGCATAAAAAGTATTTTTTCAATAATAAATAATGAATATATATACAAAGAGAGTCTGTATACAAAAAACTATAAAAATGGGGTAAGACATTCCTTGATGTCATCTGAAAAAAAAAATTTGAGCGATAAGTGAATACTTTATAATAGGTGTGTATACATTAATGTTGGCGTTAGTTGCGTTTTACACTATAATCATTCTCAGTGAAAAACGCATCCAAGAAAGACCACGTGGAGGTCGCCAACTCCTTTCTCACATTCAGAGAACATAAAAGTACTTATCGACAATATTTAAAAAAAATATACAGAATGAATATATAAAAATATAAATAATTTATGAAAAACAGAGTGTGAAAGTTTCTTGTAATCATAGCATATTTGTGCTTTTAAGCTTAAAGAATATGTGAAGATAATGTATACAAATATGAAACATAACATAATCAAAGCAAATATTTTTATAATTATATAAAACGTTTCAGTAAGATACGGTTAAAATAAATATGGTAAACTATACTAAGACTATAATTTTTTCTTATAATATTAGGAGAAAAGTGTAATAATCAAGCTCTTGGGTACAACAGTACTACACTGGTGTTTGAGCATTCGTTAATTAATTACTCTGCAACCCACTATGAGCAAAATAATCAATATATAGTTTAAGATATTTTAAAAAGATATTTATACCATAGAGGAATAATAGCGTTAAATATTGTAATACATACCAAGTGTTCTTTATTTTATAGCTAGGTTTGATTTGAATATTATCATTAGCACCAATAACACATTGAATTCAATTCCATTCCAAAGAATAAAATATAATGAAAACATGCTACAACTATCTCCCTATATTATTTAGAAAAATAAATCAAATTTTATGTATTTAATATATTTAAAAAACAAATTTATAGTTGTTTAACATTATTTAAAGACACAATTAAATCATAGTCGAACGATAGACTTAATAAACATATGTGAACAATAGAATTATAAAAAGTGTTTTAATTTTTATATCTGTTTGTATTCATAAAAATATCATATATGTCAATCACTTTCCTTCTCAATGATAATATACAATAGCTCCGTCCTCATAATTTTTGGTAGAACAAATAAAAGTGAATATGTAATTAACAAATTTTAAAAACACTTAAAGCTTATAGTACAAAGAAGGTATAACTTAATGGTTTTTCTCATCTTCATAATATCATAAAAGTTTTTTATTTCCTTTCATCTAAGTGTAAGGACTGATACTGTAAAACTCTTTTACTAAAACCAGAAAGAATAACATTCTATATATATATGTAATTGAATGAAAGAGTTAAAAAATGTAATACATACCATATTTTCATTATTTTATAGTTATGTTTATTTTGAATAGTATCTTTAGCACCAATAACACATTGACTTCAATTTCATTCCAAAGAATAAAGTATAATGGAAATTATCCAACATCTATCTCCTGTATTATTTGGAAAAATAAATCAAAGTGAATGTATTTTACATAATTTAAAGACACAATTAAAAGATATAGTATGGTAAAAATCACAATTGATTCATAGTCGAACGATAGAGTTAATAAACATATACGTGAACAATAGAATTATAAAAAGTATTGCTTATAATTTGATTTTTAATTTTTATAACTGTTTGGGATTTATTGTTTTCATAATGTCACATAAATGTTTTCATTTTCTTTCATCTAATTGTAAGGACTGATACTATAAGACTCATTTACTAAAACAAATATATTTTATATATTGTATTAATATATAATATAATATATTACATATATTGCAGATATATGTAATGAAAACATCCGATTACCTATATCTCCTCATATTTCTCGGTAAAACAATAGCTTTGACTTAATAATTTTCTGGTAAAGCGAATAAAAATTAATGTAACTATCAAATTTTATAAACATATTTAAAGTGTATAAATTATAAGGAAAATAATTTACAAAAATGTAAAACTTTCTGCGTTTTATTGTTTTATAATATCATAATAAATTTTATTTCCTTTAATCTAAGTATTCGGACTGATACTGCAAGACTCTTTTACAAAGACCGGAAAAAATAACAATCTTATATATGTAATAGAAAAAAAAGAGTTAACAAATGTAATACATACCATGTTTTCATTATTTTATAGGTGTGTACGTTTTAAATAGTATCATTAGCACTAATAACACATTGAATTCAATCCCATTCCAAAGTAAAATGAAAACATACAACAGCTATATCCCTATATTATTTGGAAAAATAAATCAAATTTAATGTATTCAACATATTTAAAAAACAAATTTATAGTTATTTAACATCATTTAAAGACACAATTAAATCATAGTCGAACGATAGATTTAATAATCATGTGTGTGATCAATATTGTATTTCATTTTTATATCTGTTTGTGTTTATAAAAAAATCATTAATGTCAATCAAATTCCTTTTTATTTTTTGGTAAAACAAATAAAAATTAATGTAATTAACAAATTTGAAAAACATATATATAGCATATAGTACGAAGAAGGCTAAAGTTATTGGTTTTTCTTACCTTCATAATATCATAAAAGTTTTCATTTCCTTCCATTTCAAAAAAAAGTTTGAAACCAAAAAAAAAAACGGACTTGACGGGCGGCGGAAAATAAATAAAAAAGAAACCGCGAACGGGATCAACACTCTCGTCAATAAGATACGACGGCGGCGAAAATCGGACGCAACGGACGGAAAAAAAAAACAGATCCCGCGAGAACAGAAATGACCACCCATACAAGTTGACGGCCACGGCAGAGTATCCGCCGACGGCGGCGAAAATCCTGCAAAGAACGCCGGCGGCGATGGCTCGGAAACGAAACCTGTACCCTACGGGGGACCTATCGGGACCTACGACTACAACCTATCTACCTGTTGAGTTGAAAACGTAGAGGATAATTCGGGCATTTAAACCGTTCGACAGGGAGATAAGGTAGAGCCACGACCGCCGACCGGTGACGTAACGTGCGAGCGAAACGTCACGGCGGCGCGAGAGGCACAGGTACAGAACGCTCCGTTGGGCTGGTGCTTAGTCAAGAAAATTTCGGATTTTCATCCGGTCGCATCGGGAAAACGACGGGTCGGAAAATCAAACGGACCCCTAACTAAAATAGATATGGGAGACAAAAGTCTACGGGAAACGGTCGACAAAGAAACGAAAAACCCTCCGCGGGATTTAAAAAGTTTTCCGGCCAATCACGACCCAGGGAATTATTTTAATATAATAGAAGATTTCAGTACTACTATCGTTATCAAATTTTAATTCCGGGGATCCTTTTAAATATTTAATTTTATGATTTTTAAAAGTTTGAGATTTATAATAATCTTGATAAAACTTGATAGATATTAAAGATATTTCTCTCTCAGCGTCTGTTAAGATTTTTTTAAATATCGGATTATAAAATTCACAAGAAAAACGATTATAATCATCGATGAATTTTTGTTTATTTCTCAGAACTTGTATACTGTCCGGTAGTTCATCGTTATCGTCCAGTTGTAAATAAATTTTTTTATTAGATCTTTTCGGTTTGTCGGGCAAGTTAATCGATGATACACATTTATCCATATCGTATTCAGATTCCATATTTGTATCATCAATCGTAGCGTTCTCTAATGGAACACTGTCCTGATTATTGGTTTTAGCGTCAATATTATCGGTATCATTTATATTGCTTATTTTATTATTACTGTTACTACTTCTACTAACTTTGCTACAATTACTATCACTACTACTTCTGCTACTGTGATTACTACGAGTCGATTTTTCAGAACACTGTCTACGATGTTTACTACGGCTGCTACGACGTTTACGTTCAATATTTTGATCGCAATCAGAATCGCTATTATATCTGTTGTGACCACATCTGTAATAAATATTTTATGAGTTCAAAAAAAATTAAATAATAAATATTTCGGTTTACCTTTAGGTTTTTGGATCGTTACGTTCGTATTTTTCCCGTTTTCTTCGTTCAGTTTACTAGACACACATTCGGTTTCAACGGATTCATCGTTATCACTATCACTCAAAGTACGTATCTGAAAAAAATAACATTAAAAAATTAAAAAAATATATAAAAATACAGTATTAATAAAAATTACATTTGTTATTTGTTTGGACAGAATCAACTTTATGGGACCAGTCGCGTTCATTTTTTCGTTAACTGATAACAGATCGTCTACAGTTGTTAATACATCATTTGTTTAAAGATCGATAACATTTGACGATGAGCCCGTATTAGTTGTGGTTTCGTTAAATAACGTTTCGAACTCGTCAGGTGGTGAAGATATGTTTTCAAGTACACGATATAGGTTCCCAACCAAGAGCCGCTTTAGTGGATACTTCGTTTAATAGAGGGATTTACACCATAAACGTAATCGCGTAGTTTAGTTAAAAATTTAGTGTTTAAAAAATACACTTACCGCGTTATCAGGATTGTATGTTTCGCCTTTAATGCTAATTAATGTTGTAGTAGCGGCAAATATCTAAAAATCATATAGCAACACCATAAATATGAGCACCTTTAGATATTTTTACAACAGTTACAACACTCGCGAACGAGTGCCGCAATATGAAAGCATAATTATACCGTTTTTCTACAGTCGAGCAGTGTTTATAAGTTTAAGTAATATTATAAAACTGAATCTATGCACCATAAATAAAAATCATGTAAGCTTCAAAATAGAATTGGAAGTAATCGAGATGTTGGTACTTATGACCCACGCCTGCTTAACATTTGCTCTGGCTCCGTATCTGCTTTCGAACATGGAATGTCCAACACCAACTCTGTTTGCGGTGACTTGATTTAATGAACAAATATGAAACCGAGTTTACTTGGAATAACGATAAATTAACTAGTATGGATAAACCCGATTTTTCGGGTAATTATATTGATGAAGATTACGATCCTTTGAATTTTAACAAAATAAAAATTAATCCTAAAATTAATCCTTTGGAAATTAACAAAAATTATGAAGACGAAGAAGAAGATGTAACAGATTTCGATTAGTCGTAAAATTAGACTTACTGAGGGTATGACAAAAATATTAAGTCACGTGACCGACTGATCAGAATGATAACCCGATAACGATAAAATACCCTGATCGAACATGTAACAATTCATAGTCATTATATAATAATTTTTATCTTGATCACAATCGAATAGTATTGATATCGTACCTTTAAGCTAGTCGCTGACATACAATTTTCAGTTGTGCGATGGTTGCGCAACAGTTTCATCATACCGCACTCACAAATGTAACTGTACTATTGTGTCACATTATGATATGTAGGACATAATCGCGCAATCGAACGATTTGTGACAAAACACAAACTTATTAGTTGGTCAAATTGATTAGTTGCATGTGAGCTGATTGTCAATTTATCACTGTGGAAGTCACCCATGCGTTTAAACTGTTGCGCAATTGAAAATTGCATGTCAGCGATTAGCCTTACGAAATTACGAGCGTAAGGCTAGTCGCTGACATGCAATTTTCGATTGCGCAACAGTTTAATCGCATGAGTGACTTCCACAGTGATAAATGACAGTCAGCTCACATGCAACTAATCAGTTTGACCAATTAATAAGTTTGTGTTTTGTCACAAATCGTTCGATTACGCGATTACATCCTATGTATCATAATGTGACATGATAGTAGAGTTACATTTGTGAGTGCGGTATGATGAAACTGTTGCGTAACTATCGTACAACTGAAAATTGCATGTCAGCGACTAGCCTTAGTTTAAACACTTGTCGTATGCTCTCATTTTTTCTAATGAAATTTTAAATTTAAAAAGAAAATATAAATATTTGTACATGTACGCAATTAATGTATGTTATATTTTAACTAAGGTTATTATATTTCATTCAAATTTTGAAAACCGTACCTATAAAACACGTGTAAAATAATTATTGTAAGCAGTTGTACTTTATAAAATGTTGAATAATTATCAAATACTGTATAATTTGCCTATACATCTTAATCTATACCTTATCTTTTCTTATAAATACAATATTTATTGATTTTTAAATAAACATAATTGTTACACTGTAAGGATCTGGTTTTTTTATGTTATATAACGGAATTTTTTTTGTCAAAACTTGACCATGAACAATATCTATAACAGATGTTGCGGATCAATAACATGGAAAATTATTTGTAAATGAAAAAGTTGTTAATATTTTTATTAAATATCTAAATCACGTGACACATTTTTCAAATATTCGCTTACTAATGGCCAATTAAATCTGCAAAAAAAAATATTGTGAATTGTTATATTATATAATATTCTAACATCAATGTAGGTACTGATATATTAAATCGGTGGTTATTCATTTTATTCACTACAAATATTATTATTCATTACTAGTCTTAACAAGCTCACTAATGTTGGAAATAATGTTAGAATAGCATTTAAACATTTAAGGTAACATAAAACGTAAATTCATTAATTTTCAGCAATTTTATACAATGAATAATAGCTATGAAACTCTCAAAAGCTAGTATTCAATGTGATTAGATAGATTCAACAGAAAAAAATATTGTATTAATGTATTAAATACACTTAGTAAATGTTTTATAAAATTGTCTTTACTTTTAAGCGTTCCTAGTCTTCTCAAACACTTCAAACATAGATGAAATACATTTCATAATACTTCATAAAACTTTTCTTGCCATGTATTTACCGCCAACTATCCAACCTTAAAAATAAAGAAAATATTTTATTAATTTGATAGTTTATTACTTAATAAAAATACATATTGCTTTTCTGGTAAAACAATGATGTAAATGCAAAACTTTGATTTGATTTTGAACTACAATACCCAAAAATATAATTTTTTTTGTACATTGTTTTACCAGAGAAGCAGTATATTGTCTTATAACAAATTCATAAACTTCTTTTTTTTTTAAATATATTTATAAATTATAGTATTATTTAATTTACTAAAGATAGTTTCAATATCTTACTTTAGGTTATGATAGTATAAACTTAAGCTACTTGCAAATATGATAAATATAGAAGAAATAATTTTTTAGTAAAACTTTATGATGTTACAAATTTCAAATTATTATCCTTATTAGGTAATAAAAAACTGTTATCAATTTTCTTTAAAATAAGATTAAGATTACAATAAATGTTTATTCAAATCAATTTTTTTTTTCGACCAATTTATATTTGTGCCCAACAAAATGGTTAAACATTTTCATAAAACAAGAAACAATACGAATCATATAAAAAAAAAAAATGATTTATTTAACAATACATGTCAAATAAGTATAGCGTCAATTACTTTTTTAAAAAAAATAGTAGTATTGAATTGATATATTACAAATGTATTCAAAATATATTAAAGCAACGAAATAATTATGATGAAATATATTTTATTGGATCAACAAATGTTTATAAGTATTTTAAAAGCAATGTTTAAAATGATTTCATAACAATAATAAATATGAATTATTATATTTTATCTTTATTGTTTGAATAAGGTATTTGAAGCACATAGTAAATATTTGAAACGTTTGAATGTTTCATTATTGTACAGAAGTGAACAATCTATGACTAATTCATATTTGTTTATTATTTTATGCAATAAGAGATTTCAGAAATCAAAATTGATCTGCACACACAAATCGCAGCCTTCTCTTGTTAGCTAAATGGCTAGTGTTTAAAAAATAAATAAATAAAATTATCTATACTGGCAATCGATATTTGTATTGTGTTAAGTATATGTTTATGGGCACACAAATAAAAATATGGAAAAAAAATAACTTATTCCACGGTTCAATGCTGAAAAAAAAATAATTTTCATCCGGACGTATGAACACACGGTTTTCGATCACTTGTGGTAACTTATAAATTGCTCACTCTGTACATTTATCGAACGATCACTGACATTAGGTTACGTTACTCGTTCCACGATCCACCCTTGGTCTCATATGCGTTGCAAACTGCTTTGGGCTCGTTGCCGATCGATAGTGCCATCGGCATCGGTGCGTGCTGAAAAAAAAAGAACTGACAAGAAGAGTCAACTGTTTCGGTTGCGGTCTCTGCACGTCACGGACTTCGGAACACGTCCGTTATCGCTTATCATCGGTACACTGAAGTCGTATCATCATCATCGTGTTATCAACGATAACCATAATAATCCCGGATAACAGAACGACAGTAATAATTTTATAACCTCTGAATGTGATAGTGGTGAATGATTTTTTTTTCCATTTCCAGCACTGTTCCCGAACGAAATTTTGGACTCGAATCGCGTGTTCAATGATTAATGTCTGCCAGTGAACAACGTTCAATCGTACGTATCGATCGAACAGCTTCAGTGATTTGGGGTGTGCCGTGTACCGTGACTTTAGTACGGCGTACCTTACTAATTTGCACTTGTTTAAGGTGTTTTAGCTACAGTCGTAACACACCTTTATTAATAACTGTGCACGTCTCAGCAACAGAAACAGGGATAATTTATGATTCTGTTGATCCATTACACTGTACTCGTGCGCAAATATTCTTGTCAAATTTTATCGAGAGCGTACTGCGCCAACAAATGTCTGAATATGGACATTTTTATTATTTAGATGTTGGTGGTAGGAAAATGTTATATATATATATATATATTAATGAAAAACTGAAATGTATACGTTGAAAATGCACATAAAATTAAAATAATTTAAATGAACTGATACCATCAATAGTTACTTCATTGTATTTGTTTAATTCACACTAATTGTCACTGGAGGAAAACTGAATGTCTACTACAAAATAAGGCCAAAATTAAAACCAGTATATACAGCAACTAGCGTACAATATGTTTACTCTCAAGTCTCATGATTACATTTTCCAAAATAATGTTGAGAGTATACGGCGTATATTTAGTATACCCTTTGGGTGCACTCCTGCTTATATAATGATAGGTTACATGATATCTTTGATTTTAGAATATATTTATGATGGCATAAATGATGTTAAATTCAATCGATTCACATGCATCACCGATGCAATACATTGAAAGAAGTAAATTATTATTTTGTAGAAGTGTTTTGTAATATATTCCATTAATATTATGAATGTAATTATTTTTCCTCCATTTAAAACAATGTTTGTTTATTTTAGTTTCTGTTTCATAACAATATTATTAATCATGTATTCACATATTATTATATGATTTTTAATTTACTGTTTACCAATATAGAATTATATAGTCATTAAACCACCCACTCGAGCGTATAAGTCTAAATTGGATATAACTGTTTATTTGTATTATATCTAATTTAAATCTTTAGTGATAAATATTCTTATAATGATTTTTTTTTCATTTTCTTTGTTATTTACTATTAAGTAAACAATAGGATTGTAATTTATCATAAAATCTTTATCAAAAATAATTTGAAAATTACAAATTTTTAACCTAATGTTGCATGCAAGACTTAACAGCCAAACTAAATAGATAATCAACTCATTTTACGATCATCAATGATTATTATTTTTTTTTTTTTTTTTAATCTTTTAGATATTCAATATTTACTCATAACTTTCTTTCTGAACTCAATATTTGTATTCATATTCAAATAAATAATATGAATAATACCCAGAATTTCTAACATTCGACTGAACCACAAAGTCTCAATGTTTTTTTAGATCAATATTAATAAAACTGGGATAATGAATAAAGTAATAAAAGTCTAGTAAATAATTTGTTTTACAAAATATTTCTATATTACTGTTACTTAACATTTAAGGCCTTACGCATCCTTAACGGATTTTTGAAAAATATATTTTTTATGAACTAATACTATTACTAATACTAATATTATACTTAACTAATACATTTTAATGATAATTGAACAATTTTATGACATTTTACAGTGTTATATAGCTAAATCAATAAGTTCATTAATAAACTAAGAATATAAAAGTAAAAAATATTATTATTTGTTATGCATTAATACAAAGAGTAATATTAAAAAAAAAAATTGATAATTAATTATTATATTTATTAATAAAGTATTATGACCTAAATTATATGAATATTCATCTTCATTCTCCAAGTGATTTAACTTTTTACTCCTTTACAGTTTTAAGCTCACCCAGAGAAGCTAAGCATGTCAAACGAACAGCATACTGACGAAACTCTGAAATATTAAACAATCATAATTAATTACAGACAAGAAAGTTAAGACTAAATAATTTTATAGTTGAATTTAAACATGAGTTAAATAAATAAATTCAAATTAGTAAAAGATGGACCACCTCAGTGTTTTATTGCTTGAACATACGGCTAAGTATTGAATTGTAATAGAATAGAGTTAGTACATTTTGTAAATATATTGTTTGGGTCAAGTGTAGACTATATTTATTATTATTATTTATTATTATTCAATTAGTATATAGATTATTTTTTCCTATTGAGATTTATAAAATACTTGTAGTTATAGATAATTAAATGTATAATTATATTAAAAGACCCTAAAATATTTGTACCCAACTCAACCCAAATGAATACGGTCAATATAAAAATATACTAATATACAATATAATAATATATATAACCTAACCATATGGCTGACTTTTTGCTATAGGTGTACTAAATTATATTGTATGCTATTGAAAGAGGGGAATTTGTGTTGCACTATGCTAATCAAGATACTGACCTAATTTATTCATGTATTCCTTTGCATGCATGACGGCTTTGCATAAATCTTCTTGTGCTTTTTCATTGTCCACATCTGCAGGCCTAGTGGTGGTTGGTGTTGTTGGAATAGGAAATTCTTTGAGAGTAAATAATTTTTTTACTTCAGATAAATTTTCCTTAGCCCTGTATATTGCATGATAATATTTATATATTAGAAATAATATTTTACAAATTGGTTTAACTTTTACAATTTATTAATAGTAGTATAAACATTTATAAAAACTACGAAGAAACATTGGTGGTTTAGTTATTTATCTTAAACTTCAGAAACTATTGTTTGTTATATTTTTATTAATTAAATATTTTTCATACACACAGAAATTATAATAATTGGAGTTGTAGTGTTTGGAGATGAATGTATTCAAGTTTGGAGAGCATCGCTAGAATTTTTAAAAGATGCTGAGCCAAACTAATATTTCTAATCATATGAACAAATACATACCATTTTTTAAACGAACAAAATAAAAAAAATCGAGAAAAGTAATTATATAAAAGTTACTGACATTAACATACAAATTCGATCATATTACCATAGTGAAAATTAAATAATTTATTAAATGATAATTAATTAGTAATTAAATAATATTCTGAAAACTAAAACACATTTTTATTAGATCATATTAATCATGTATAAATAAATAAATTAAATACTTAGAATCGGGGCATGTCATCTTCGAATTGCTTAGGTCACACTCATTAAAACAGCATTTGCTATTGATGCCGCTGCTCCATGGCAAGAAAGCTAAAAAAAAAAAAGTACATTTATATTATCACGCTCTAGCGGCTAATTCATAATATACGATTCATAATTATTAATTAAGCGTGAAATAAAAACGCGCGTTTACTTAAGTTTGATCCGCATAAAGTTCCGTACCTATAAGCAGGGATTAGGACAATTGTAGATCAAAAATATTTTTTGTTCTTAAGTTATAATAAATGATATTTAAATAATAACATAATGTTCTATGTATTCCTTATTATTATAAAAATACCATGCGCTAACCTATTAGGTACGTGACTAATTGTTTTTTATATATATGATGTACAATAAAAAAATGTTGACTCACCTGCAGGACGTCCGGTGTATCTCATGACGCAAGATGTAAGTATAACGTCCGGTAAAATGGTCAAACAAATATTTCTGGTATTGGTCCAATCTAATACACAAAAATTTATATTAAAACCGCTGTATAGAAACGCAATTAAAGTTATATTATCTGACACATAATGTAAATAAAACACATATATGAAAATAAATTTTCTCAAAAAAGGAGGGGGAACAAGTCCCTTTTTTAAACTACACTACGTATGTTGTAGGTACATAGTAAAATATATTTTGAACGATTTTCGAGCCGCCTCCTCAAATTTCAAGCACTTTTTGGGCGTTTTGAAAAAAGGTTTATAGAAATCAGATAATAAAACTGTTAAAAATAAAAGGCGTAAAAAAACATTATTTTGATGTAGGTACTAAGGAAACAATTTTTCCACAACAATTGCAGAGCATTGCTTGAAATAGCATGTGAATATAAAAAAATAATAATTACTCAATAATCTTGAAAGTTCCAAGTTGGAAACATTACGTCCCATGGTTTGGCAAGCCAATGACAATAGTACGATAAAAATAAGTTTGACATTCCTGAAAAATACAAGCATATGAAAATATAAAATTAAAATAAACTTATACTTACAAAATAAGATATAATACACAATTTTATTTAGAACTAATATAATACATTTACATTTGATTATCTCTTTCCTTTGTATACTTCAAAACATTTTCATATTTAAGTTTTTGTCTATAAATAGTTTGACTGTAATGACTGACTTTAATAAAATTACTCTACATCTCAAATATATTCAAGATATGTCAACATTCTTGTAGATGTTAATAAAAATAAATTAAAACCATTCAATATTAGTACTTACATGTTTAAGCCTTTAGGTTAGGTTTAAGCCTTCGGTTGTAAGAACCTGGTTGTGAAATAATGTGCTAGAAAGTAAAAAAAAAAAAAACAAAATTAGTCGATTTTTGTAAATTAGTTATTTTTAAATCAAATTTAATTTTTATTATGGACACTTTTTAAATTAAACCTTTAATCATAGTTTTAAAGTTGATATAATAAATTTAATTGTTTCTTATATGATCTACATCTATATTTTATATAATTAAATGTTAATGCGTTATTATAAACATAGAGAAAAACCATCGTTATTGAAATAGTTATTGAATTATATATTGATAAAAAGTATTTGATTTGTTTGTTTTATTAACTCTAATACACCAAAATAGAACAAATGCTTATACGTGAAATAAATAAGTATATTATACGGAATTTGATCAAATAAATCATTAATGACTGTAAGATGTTTTGGAAATTGAATACAAGGCTAACCTTACATAAATGTTAACATACTCGTAATAATAAAAAATGGTAAAATTAAATTAAATTAATTTTTTGTTTCGTCGAAAATTAGTAAGTAGTATTTTATGTAATAGTATCATTATTCATTCGTCTCAGGAAAAAGAAGCTTTGCGTATAAAATATAATTAATTAAATCATTATATGATAACAGCATGAAAACGTAAACACATATTTATAAGTTTCAATAATCACTCATCAAAATTATATTCTCATCGCGGTGCATACCTACATGTAAAATATACCTTTTATGTCGAATTATTTCCTATACTATAAGATTACGCTATACGCTATTTTATTTGATGTTATTGTACATTCGTGATAATCAGATTAAATTAATACATTTTGGAATGAATAACAATTTGTTCATTAATTTTTAACACCCCCGTACTATTTTTTGCGACCCCTAAGTGGTTAACATTTTAAGACAGTTAAAATAAAAAATCTACTAAACTATCTTCCATAATATAAACACCGGCTATCATATTTTATAAAAAGTTGTTAAATACTTTTTTTAAAAAATGTTTAGGCCCCAAGTTAAGATTTGCACATAAGCTTCATAATATATGAATTTTTTCGATGACATGCATCGATGCATAGAAAAGAAGGTGAACCACAATCGAAGTGTATGATTCACATAATGCTTTGTTGCTCGAAGCACCCTCCAAACTAACAACGAATTATGAAATTGTTATTTTGGAATGTCATTCGACGGTTTAAAATATTACAATAAGCGAATGAAACCACCAATGGAGCAGACCATCTACTAGGACATTTAGGCCAGGTGCTACTTATATATATAAAACAGATTTTCATGTGAGCGCATATACATTTTGTCGATGACTTGCGTCGATGCATAAAAAAGAAGTTGAATCACAATCGAAGGGTACGATTCATATATGTTTTGTTGCCCGTAGCACCCTCCGAAATGACAACGATTTATGGAATTGTTATTTTGGAATGTTATTCAATGGTTTAAAATATTACAACGGACGAATGAAATCACTATTGACGCAGACCATCTGCTCGGGCTTTATATTTATATACAATAACCACCGGTGTCCACGGAATTTCGATTTATTTATAAATATTTCCACACCGTCTAAAAAGTCATGATTGGTAATAATTTATACGGTTTTCGTAAAAAAAAAAATGTATACCGGCTATATATCGATGTGCTGTGTTGTAACTCGTAATCTAAATAATTTGAATTATGATTTCTATCATATCATCCTTAGTTTATATATATATTTTACGGTACATAATAGTTTTTCTTGAAAAAAAAAATCTATTTATGATATGAATATGCGTATCATATCATACGAAGAAAGCCAACCAGCGTAAAACACTAGCAGAATAAAATCTAACGTAATGTATAGCATTAATGAAAACAACGTACACGTCGAGGAAGCGCGGTGTTTAAAATATAACAATGTAAAACCTCCCACGAAGATGGGTTCGACGACGAAACTCGTGACGTCCGCCGTCAACCCGTGTCACAGAAATTCCACGACGCAGGTAAATCATAAACGAACAATAGTGTACTATTGTAGAGCCGAAGGCATCCATAATTTTCGACCACACCGGATCATCATAAAATGTTTCATCGAAAAAGTGAAGGTTTATAAATGATCAACTATGAATTCAATAATCACTACGGTGAATAATCTTCAAGTTAATAACACATTAATTGAATCGGGTCCAGAACGATAAAAAGGAGAATAGGAGGGAGAGCTTACATTCAAAAGATGACACATGTTACCCGGTTGTACCACGGCTTAAATTATATTTTATTTATATATATTTAACAACCTAATTTTAAATATATTTTAAACCGTATCTAATATGTCTTAAATAATTAACGAAATGTAATGGTTTTTTTTTTTTTTTTAACAAGAGGA